CTCCATGCCGCCCGCCATGCCGCCCCGCCATGCCTCCCTGCCATGCCCCCCACCATGCTGGCTCGCCATGCCGCCACGCCACGCTGCCCGGGCGAAGAACGCGCGCAACTTCGAGTCGATGACACGGGACGCTGCGCCGCTCCGCAACTTCCAGCGGCGCCGTATCGCTGTCTGCCCTTGTTTCCGAGTTGCATGCAGAGATGAAGTCAATATTTACCGCTGGGGCGCGATGGAAAATAATTCACAAATTCGAAGAAGTTTTAAGGTGTATTAAGAAAGTGGGACTCCTGAACGTCTATTTCTTATAAACTGCATTCAAATCAACATATTTAGTATTTATGGTGTTTGTTGTGTGATAGTCTGTTTACAAGATAAAACGTAGGAAACATTGATTAACTTTGATATCATTTAAGTGACGATTTTTTCAAATTTTAAATTAAAAAAATATATTTCATTAAAAAAGAATTTTGAGAGTGAAAATTTAGAAAGAAATTGAGCTATATATTAATCCATATGCGTCCACGTGACGTTTTCGTCCAACAATGTATTAAACTTGCATATTTTACTGTGTGTACACCAACTATGGGTCACTCCCATAATTTCTAAATGGTTGATTATATCGAAATGCAATTTTCGCTCATCAATGTCGAATGAGGGGGAAGTAATATGCTGTATTACTGAGATATTGTTTGAAATACTTTTATTTTTCGAAAAATTAATCATCTTCAATTTTTTAAATATAATTATATATTTTTCTCTCCAGCAATTGATAGATCATAAACAGAGGAATACAATGATGTTTCAGATGTTGGCATTTTTATTGTAATATGAGTTTAAAATTAGACTTTCAGACATGTGATTTTAAATTAAACGGACAATATTTCCTGCTGCAGCCCTTTGTGGAAGAAAGGTGGCCTTCGCGGCGCCGATTCTGCTGCGGGGAGAGGAGAGAGGCTCCGAAGGCCACCTTCTCCTAAAGCGACAGTTGCAAGGGCAACAGTCGCTTTAATTGAAAATCACAATACAGGAATATTGCACTTTAATTGAAAATCACATGTTAGAAAGTATGATTTTTCACTCAAAATAATATTTAAACATTAACATATATTACATTACTGCATTCCTCTTTTTATTACGTATTTATTGCTAGTGAGAACCAATTGCGGTTCGATTTAAAGAATCAAAGATTACATTTCTCGAAAAGTAAAAATATTTCAAATAATATCTCTAAAGCATATTACTTCCCTCATAATTTCGCATTGTTGACCGAAAACTGCGTTCTGATATCAACAGTTTAGATGTTATGGGGATGGCCCATATTCGGAGGGGTTTCCTGAATAAACTTCTATAAATATTGATATATTATACTATCTTTAGATAATTTTGTGTGAAACCTCGATATTAAATCGTTAAAATCAAAAGCCATTAAAAAACAAAACGATAAAAATTCTTTATTAGCTCTTGAAATATATCTTAAATAAACATTGAGCATGGATCAATTGGTATTGCCTTTATTCCGGGTTTAATTGTTAAATTCAGAATATATTGACTTCAGTGTTGTGGGAAAAATATTTGTGTTCCTACGATAGAAATTTTGTAATTCCGAATTAAATCTATTACCGTCCTGATAGCTTGTTATCTAAGCAAATATAATATAAAATTAAGTTTTCTTTTGTTGGTTATTGAGTACCCAAAATAAAATAAATATATTAATGTGTACTTTTAGATCAAACATAATTTGGGATAGTAAAAAATGTTATTAACTAAGTCTAACTGAAGAGATATCTGGTATTACATCAACGTTCTCTGAAACGAACCGATGCTGCTACTGCAAGTTTCGCATCGTCAGCTTCGTGCCTTTGGAACGTTGGCATGAATTCAGTGTCTCGACGTCGCAACATTTCCAATTTGACCTACATTCTTCGGGATGCGGGAGTAGATACTTCGCCACTTGAAAACTATCTTCGGATTTGCGACCCATTCGACGAGGTGCAAGATCTTCGACATACTTTCACAAAATCAAAGTAGCGAAGTTCTCTTGGCGCTATAGTGCTCTTACTTTGTGAGAAGAGCTCAAAAACATTTGCAGTTGTCGACTTGTTATAACCTGTGCGAAACGGAATTTTGCACAAAAGCAGATAACATATCGGGCAAAATCTATTACATTCTTTCCAATTCTTGTTCTATTAAATTGTTTGCGATTTTTGTTTCTTAAGTATGGATTTATTTTGTAATCTTATTTGATATTGAACATCTATATTTATTATACTTCCTTGTACGCAGAGCGTGTATATGTAGTTTTGAAAAAATTATGTAATACTGACAAACTCGGCAACATTTTACCGAAATATCTGTGTGGGTCCCTGATACCGAGAAAGTTATTTTTTAAAACACATTTCTCTGTGTCTTTCTATCTGTCTCTCTTTGACTGCCTGTGTTTGTTTGTATTTCTGCCTGCCCGATCGTACGAACAACACTAGCTCCTCAATCGTACACAGGAGTTTCCAGAAAAAAATATTCCCCGGTCGAATGAAGGCCCTACGAATTTGAAACGAGATTGTTTAATATTTGTGAATACTACTTTACCTGATAACACAATTAAATTTTCCTTTTTTTAAATAGTATCACGTTTAGTATTTAATTTTTGTTGTTGGAGAGTGAAGTAATGGGCAATGTGGGCTTATAAATACGGTGAATTATAATTTACAACTATTTCTAACCTGCCCTACACCGTATTGAAGCTAATTGAAGACATTGAAATCTTGAAGATTTTTAAAACTGATATTTCTTTCTGAAATATATTTTTCAGTCATCAATATTAGATACAGTCAGCTTCTTTGGCCATTTGGTATCTGGCATTCGAAGATGATGGCATTACCATTCGAGGGCTATATTTTCAAAAGTTCTTTATTATGTAGAAAATCCTTATTTTCTCCCAATTTTTCTGTTATTATTTTATATCTTCTTGTTATCAACAAACATCTCGTAAAAGTCAATTTTATTGTCATTATTCTATCTCTAATGCATGTTGTGCACATTTATACTCCGAACACAACTTTATTCTCTATGATATAAATTTTGACTAGCTGAAACCCTACAATTAAATCGCACATAACAAAGAGCTATAGAAACATTATAACAGAAGAGTACTACGTATGTACTATACGAAATAAAGAAAACTATATAATATTCTATATAATATTCAACTTTCAGCAAAGCGCAAAAACGTTTATGCTCATAGTCGGCGGTAAAACAGTTTTCATGCTATTGCTCATGCTCATAGTCTCACTAACAAAAAAAAACACCAGATGACCAAGATACCAGTTCAGTTGCCTGTTTTACCTTAACGTTCACTCCAAGCTGAACCAAAGAAGATCTCGCGCGTTACTCAGTCGGCGTGCTTGCGATGGGGAACTCCGTTTGCATGCACTTCCAGGGCACCCTCTTCGTTTCTTCTCGAACCGCGCGTATGGCCTCGTGTCCAACTGCCACG